CACACACACACACACACACACACACACACACACACACACACACACACACACACACACACACCGCATCAGCATCAAATCCAGCTGAGAGGGTTAACAAATCTGTCGTCGTGCCCTTTTATACTTACCAGGTGGAGTTCTTGCACAGTTTGGCTCATGGTCCATTCTGGATTGCTGGTGCACGCAACTGAAGACAGCAATGGAAAAAAAAAATAAAGAGAAAAAGTCAATTAATTAATAAGAAGCTAAAACGATTTGTGACTCAGCGTGTGACAAGATGCAGGACAACGCTCCTCTTGGTTCTGGCCTTGCTCAGACTAGCCGTTTGCTCATCGTGTGGTCAGAAATGAACTATTTTCTCCAAGGTGAAGTTGTACAAAGAGCTTCCTACAACAGGTGAGATATTAACTTCTTTAGCTTTCCCCAAAACCTCGTGTCAAAGGTCTGAACTATCTAAGTGATGACTGGGGTGGAAATGATCAAGGCTTTCACAACAGCTGGACATTTGACACACTAACTATGACCTTTGACCCTAAAATCCAGATTTCAGCCTTAAATCCATGTGAATTTGTTCCATGTTCATGAAACTCCCTCGAGGCACAAACTTATTATGCTCATGAGAATAGAAAAAAAAAAAAAAAAGACCTTGTTTCCTTGTTTCTGGTCAAGGTACAAAACACAGTGAGTCATTAATAAGTAAAAAAACAAAAGATCTCTATTAAAGGGTAACTTACAGATTTTAATTGTTTAAAACTCAGGATGTTACAAACTCTTGACGACGACTCAGTTGTGTTTCATTTAATCAGAAAAGTACCTCGGAGGAAACTTCAAATTTAGGATGAAATCAGCGGGACCGAGAACATCCTGTAAACTGATACCAAAGCTTCTGAATGAATCTGGCCAAGTAGGGAAAAAGTCTCTCTCCTGAACGTTTAAAAAAAGATATTGCTGACTCTCTGTTCACTTGTAGGCTCAGCAGAGAGATGAGTGCCCTGTCCTTCAAGGGCTCAGGGAGGCTCCAACTTCCTGCACAAACTCTGTTGACTTTAAAGTTTTAGACCAACTACAAATCAATGAATGAAAAAGAGACACTTTAATGCTTTAATGATGAATGGGAGTTCATTCTACCAGGTTTTATGGTCTACTTTTAGCATTTGCACAGAAATATTTTATTGCAAGACCTCTAAGGTTAAGTCACAGCAAAGTTAGCTAAGCACTGCAAGAGAGTGACTGCATGGTGGCAAATTTTAAAATCCATCTTTGTCTGTAGTTTTATGACTATAGCTCATCTTTAAATTAAAATCTTGAGCATATTTCTTTTCTAGACGCTTAAGAAATTTAAATCATGGTCACATTCAGTAAGACTTTTTCTCTAAGACATAAGAGATAAAAAAGGTTGTTATAATAATAAAGAGTCAGTTAACACAGATTTATAAAAGTCCTGGTCGTTACTCAGTTATCTATGTTTTCAGCTCATAGATGTTAAAGCATTTTTTATTCAAAATGGTTTTGAACAGGTTTGGTCAATTTCTCCCCTGTCCCACTTCAGGAGCACATGAAGACTTTCTGTGCAGAGGCAACCCCAAACCATCATGCACCCACTGCCATGCTTCACTCACAAAACTGTGGTTTAGACCAGTGGTTCCCAAACTTTTGACCTTCTGCCCACAAAATATCCATGGCAAAAACTTGTGACCCCAAATATTACTGGTCTGAGTACACAAACTTCGTTAATAACCCTAAAAACACAGGCTTTTGACAATCTACACAAATATAAATACATATTTATACTTATTTTGTGTTTTTGTAATAAATATAGGGAAAATATTACATCAGCAATTATTTTATTACCCTTTAAATTGATTTCTGGAGATTATCCAAGGTGCTTCATGACCCATAAT